CGCTGTCTATTTTCTTCTTGCGTTCACTTACATTGTTGTTACCTTGTTTTGGTTTTGTTTACTAATTGTCTTCATTGTACCACACGCTTTGCCGTGTAAGAACAATAAACAATAAACAGTGCTCACCTCATCGCTCCAAGCTCTTCTGTTTCCACCACTGACGGTTGCGGAATCAGTATTCTGAGTCTCAACCAGATCGTTTGTCTTGACGCTATTGACGGAATTTTGATTAAAGAAATTGCTAGAAGTCGCATTCACAGCCGCACGTGATCTCTGAAACTAGAATGAAAACCATGAGGACAGCAGCACCTCACACATATCAGCAACCGTTCAAGATCGCCGAGAGGGCGGGGTCAAGGGAATGACGTAACTGGCGCGTTTCCTTTTCCCCGCCTTCTATGGGTGTGAACAAAACAAGACCACAAGAGACGCGCCAACAACTTCTCCCCCTATAGGAGAACCCAAGTGATTCCTTTGATAAGATAAACCAACCAATGGTGAACCGTTGGCGAATATCTTTGAGAGGGTCCATGGACAAATCGGCTCAGCACCCGCAATCTCCACCAATATAGCCAATGCTCGAAGAGAGGCGGCAACCAGTTGATCGTCACTGTCATGACATCCTTGGATAACCTTGAAAGACAGGATGAGTGATGAAAAAACGTGAATGTCAGAGCTTTATGAGTTTTGTTCGGAGTCATGCGCTACCGCTGATGAGACTACTACTGTGTCACTCCTGAGCTGCACCAATGAATTTTCTCACCAGTGCTCGCACGCGATCGCATGTTCTACCGTAACGCCCTTCCTCCCTCTCGCAACGGCTAGATCGCAGAAGGACGAGATTAAGGCCAGGCTAGGCGACCTTTCGAAGGCGGCGTAAAAGCTCGCGGTGTAGTTGAAAGATAGCTTGGGTCATACCAAAACGCTAACGCGGTCCTCTTGAGCCAAGCACGCCTGCCGTTGGGAAAATTTTCTCCACCATATGGACCGACCCCCCTCCCTTCCCCTCCCTTCGCGAGTTATTGTCTACGTCACGAATCCCCCATTGTCTAGTACGAATCCCCGCCCCCCCCATCCCATTCTACTACAGCCTCGCATCGCTGGCGGAAGTTGGGGCTGTCACAAGGGGCTCGGTTTGGCATGGGCTCAGTACTTTTTCCACGTTGTTGTCCTTTTGCTCCTCTCCAAGTGATGGACCCTAGCAGCTGCCCCCGAGCATGCTGCGCCGCGCCAAACCCGCCCCCTAACACGCCCCAGCATACGCAGCGAACAAGACTAACCATCTTACTAAATTCTCCTAACTCCTATCACTTCTGCGGGATTTTCCTGGAAATTATCCAGTTAGTCCCCCCCCCACCCTCATCCCAAAAACAACTGCCATCGAGCAAATGAGTGGTCCATACCGTATATGAGATGGGAAAAACTGCGAAAAGTCAGAAAGGCAACAACTTCGGGAGCATCTTTGATGCGACTCCTCCCTCAGCGACCAAATATGAGCCCCCACGCTGGGGTCCCGCAGGTACGTTTTAAACTGCTCTGAGCGGTGTTTGTGAACAACAAGAACTCAACCACGCTTCGCTAAATAAGCAATTACTCATTGATCAGTACCTCATCTGTGACGAAACCAACAAGACGTTCACGAGGGATATAACGAGCATAGCCTTGAAAATGAGACAGAAGCACGGTACGAACAGCCGACTCTCTGAAAAAAAGATTATTGTACAGGAAAACGGATAAAGCAAGTTTCCTCCGTAAAGCTCATATAAAAATCTAAAAGTTCGACAAAATATTTTTACTTACCTAACTTTGAACAAGCGCAATATTTCAGGAATCATATGACGCTGAAAAAGATCATGAGGGAGGATTCCATCACCAGCACCTGAACGGGACTACTTACCATTAGCGTGCAAGTATGCAGTTTACACGAAAAATAGAAAGCAAAAGTAACCTGCCGGAACCAAAAGAGCAGGATAAAGTTGAGATTGAGATCGTGGTTCAAGAAGGACGTAGCGGGATAAAAGCAGACGGGAAAGTCTTCGAGCAACAACATCAGGCGGAATAGAGCGTAGGCGAGGCACAATGTTCCTATAACATTGTAAATGCAATCACTTTACAAACTACTCGGTAGCTGTTACGCTGATTGAAAGACTTTGAAAAAAGCAGATCAAGAATTAGAAAAAAAAACAAATTCAAGGCTCGGCGCTATAGCAATACAAGGTCACAAGTGCTCATGGGGACGCTACTGTCGGACAATAACAATCTGTTAGTTATGAACCCGCGATCATACTTCACAACATGAGCGATTCTATCGCACTACTGCATCCAACCGCGCCCCACCACAATTTTGTAGCGCTGCAACAGTCGAAAGATGAATGTAATTGGATTGCAGTTGTAGCGTTCCAGCGACGAGCGGTGGAACACTACAACTGCAGTCCAGTCCAGAG